TATTTTACAATATTTAGAATATAACACATTATTTTCAACTGATTATATATCATGTTTAACAAATAGATATAGTGATAAGGGAAGCCTTGAATGATTTTCAGAAGTTTGAATGAGGAAGTCACCATGGAAAGTGTTTCTTTAAACTTTTTCTACAATTTGTATTAAAGCGTACCAAGTAAGTGTCTCTTAAAATGAAACCATTTTCTGGGAAAAGGAACTGCTGGTCAGAATGTATGGAACCAATTTTAAGTCAGAAATATGCAGTGATAACAAGTCTGTGTACAACTGAATGGAATTTAAATTGCTCAGTTTAAAAAAAAATGACCAGACTAACTACTGCTCCTCTGGTAGATGGTATGAAAGCAAGTGAACAGCATGCCAAGCAAATCAGTAGCCAATTCTTTGTCACACAGGTCCAGAAGACACAATCATGCATTACAAATACTACTATATCCCATGTGTCAGAGTGGCTTGGTGCCTTCAAACAAGCTAGTCTGGCTGGGAATCAGTCTGGGTTCACATGACACAACAAGCCCACGATGGGTTATCATGTTGTAAGTACTTAGTCTCTATGTATGGAAGCTGCCCTGGGAAGGATTGGGAAGAGAATCCCATTCCATCAGTGCAGTTGATCCAGGGAAAATCAAGATCCAGCCCCAGAATTAAAACTGTACCACATTAACATTGTATCGCATTATCCCACCTTTACCTTTTCAATTAGATCAATACAAGCTTGCAGATCCAAGCCAAAGTCAATGAAGACCCATTCAATCCCTTCTTTCTTGTATTCTTCTTGTTCCAAGACAAACATGTGATGGTTGAAAAACTGTTGCAGCTTCTCATTGGTGAAGTTGATGCATAACTGTTCAAAGCTGTTATACTGCAAAGAGAAAGGGACATGAACGCCTAAGTGCTTGAAACATCAGTATTTACCTCTACTACTTCCAGCACCCTCAGAAGAATATCAATGCAATTTCAACCGTTTGAGTGTAACACATTTCCATGTACCATGTTTATGGAATCTGGACACATTATGCCATCAAGTAATTTTGGCCCACAAATACATTTCTGGATGATAAAACTGACTTTGTTGCATGATCATGCTGAGCTCAACTGAAGGGAAATGGCTACAAACCATGGCAAGTTTAACTCCTTCTCTGAGGTGACATTCTGGATTGGTACCAGCCTACATGGTTAGAGAGATCCGCAACCATGTCTCTGTAGAGAGATTAGCAACTTGGCTCCTGTTCTCCTTAAATTGCATGCACTCCAGTGGTCTGGTCATTATAGCAAGCTTATTACTAAGAAGAAGTCCCTGAGTTTGCCTTTTGACTCTCTTGTCACAATATCTTTTTCTGTGGTGCAGTGTCCTTTAGAAACTGTTAATCCCCTTATCTACTTCAATTTTGTCACAGCACTTGAGATCTGAACTCTGCACAGTGCCTTTCCTGCTTTTCTGCCATATGACTTCTAGAGGGCACTGTACTATAAAGGAATAGTTCAAATACACAAGTAGAAACAGCACAATTTTCAAGGTTCTAATATAAAACCCAGTTTTATCCATTCTTTAAACAAACAAACCAAACCGTTTTGTAAGACAGGAAAATCCCAACATTGTCTAAAGCAGGGGTTCTCAACCTTTTTTTTTTTTTTAACTCATGGTCCCATTCTGAGCTCATTTACCTCTGTGACCCTCTTCATAGCTGGAAAAAACAATTACCATTGGCCCTCTGGCCCCTAGAAACAGGGTGAAAATCCTTCAAATTAATTAATGAATTAATAAACAGTTGAACATTAGCTTGTAAACCTATGGGCAGACACATTGCTGTATGTTTTAAACCTGAGAATAATTAGCATGATCATTCATATTACTATGACATGTTGAAATCAATCATGGTGACTTCATCATGTTATAGAAATGGGCCTGTGAATCAGCCAGAGCATTGCTGAAACCAGTTTTTTTAGTATGACTGCAGTTAAATTTTCACCTAGGTCTCTCTCAACAAGCCAGCAAGTTGAAAGAGACGGAAGGTTATTGCAGACAAAATTAATCTGTCCACAAGACCTCAAGGTAAGTTTATTTTGCCATTAGCTTCATGGACCACGGAAACTGAGCTAGAGATGTTTTGTCTGTGTATTTTATTTTTAGCAAAGTTCAGAAGTTGTTTTTCCCATCACACAGTACAAAAACCACTCCTGCTGGGATGCTGCTGTGGGCAAATTTTGAAACTCACCTCAAAGATTTCAAAGCCAGCAATGTCCAGCACTCCGATGAAGAACTGCCTGGCTAGTTTAGTGTCCAAAGTTTTGTTGATACGAAAAACTAACCATTTGAACATCCGATCATAGGTTGCTTTGGCCAAGGCGCCCACTGCATACACCACCTGCAAAAAGCAATGCGACAACAGTGGGTCAGAAGAATAGGAAACAGAAGGTACTTCGAGAAGAGAATCACTATGAGAAATGATGAAATAGCTCCTGGATATCTAAGGCTACAATCCTGTGCACATCAACTTGAGAAGAAGACCCTTTAAACCTAGTTAGGCTTACTTCTGAGTAAACTCAGGTAATATTTATCACTGATAATATTTGATCATTAGTAGTTAATTAACACAGAGTAATTAATTAAACAAAAATTAGGGACAACCACTCATCTTGGTGGGGATACATTATCTTTAAATGAAAATTGAATGCATCTTTAGATGAAAGTTAATAAACAAGTTACATCAAGTAAACAGAGCAGTAATTATACAAAATATAAGGCAGAGCTGACTTTGGTTTTCATATCCTATAAGAAACATTGTGTATAATAACTATTATATGCTTAATATGCTTTTACAAGTCTTAGTACACAGATTAAGAAAGCAGCAATGAAGTGTCACCCAACATTTATTTGTCCTTTACAGTGATTCCTTTACAGGCTTCGGCGAATGGGGTGGCATAAAAATGTTTTAATAAATAAATAAATAAATAAAATTCCCCACCTTTCCTACATCATGTACAAGCTTCTTCCCAGGTCCACTTACCTGATCAACAGTCTGACCTTTGGTCACATATTCATTTCCAACCTTCACCCTGGGGTGAAGCAGCCCCTTGATTAAATCACCTGAGCTGATCCCCATGAGGTAAGAGGATTTATCAGCACCTGAAATGCAACATTGAGACATGAATCAGAACAGGAAGTCAATGAAATAAACTATAGATGGGTTTCCATCATTTAGAAACCCCGTGACTGAGAGTGACCCCCTCAGCAAAGTCTGCTTGTAATTTAGACCAGACTTTCTCAGCCTTTTTATCTTGGAGAAACCTTGAAATATTTGTGAGGTAACCCCTGCATAAAAATTATTATAAATGATAATGATGATGATTAACCTCTCATGTCCAACCTATGCACAGGCACTCAGAAGAAGCACAACATTTAATATTATTTATAATTATTGTTGCTGTTGATGTTCATTTTACTGATGTGCCATACCACCCTGTCATGCTTCCCATAAGAACTGCTTTGATCTGCCTGTGGGAAAGGTCCACCAGCTGGGCATGAGGGCAGCAACCTGCCCCTCCTCCTCCTCCTCGCCTCAGCACTGCACCCCAGAGACAGGGCATTCTGTCCATGGAGGCTCCACCAGTGACACACCACTTCCTCATTCTACTGCTTACCAACCGGGTCCCAATTCTCACTTCTTCACCTGCCTGTAAATCATGAAGGGGGTGTGCAATGAAAGGTAAATGTGAAATAAGGGCCCTTACTGGTCATTTAATGCCAGCCAAATGAAATCACTGCCACACTGCTTCCTACAACCCTGAGGCACACACACCAGACCATGGTTTTTTCCTGGGCCCCCTTCCATTACCTAGGCAACTAGGACAAGTGGTTTATATTATTAAATATCCACACACATGTGAATGTGAAAATACAGTGTTCCCTCTCTCTCTCCATGATCTCTTGTGGAACCCCTGGTGACCTTTTAACAGTTAATTGGTTTTATCCTTGTTTTTATCACTATTTTTAGATGCAGTGTGATGTGTGTTGTTGTTATGGTTTTTGTTCTTTGGTTTTTTGTCCTTTGTAAGCCATTCAGAGACTTTCTTAGTAATGGGACGGCATAGAAAAACTTTAAATACATAAAATAAATAAAAACATGGCCACCAGGGCTAACATACAGAAGCCATTGTGTTTTTGTGGGGACTACCATCCCAATACCCTGACAAAGTACCAGAAGTCAATTTAGCTTTCAAGCACTAAAACATGATACGGATGTCCCAGAGGTTGCAATGAGTTCTGCAATACTATCAGAAACCCAAGTAATCACCACTGAGAGCCAGTAGGAGTATTAAAAACAGGGGGCAGAGTATTCATCAATGGTAGGCCCTTCTCTGAGGGAGAAAGAAGATACAGACTTCTATCAAACCTGGGATTCTTTTTATTATTGGCTAGAGAAACGGGACTATGCATAGACTTAAACATGTTTATAGTATAACATAAAAGGAAAAAATGTGGGGGGCTGACCCAGTAGGTCTGATGTTTTCGATGATTGATGTTTCTTAGTTTCTTTTTGTTAGGTATATTAAGAATAAAACCTATTCCAAAAAAAAAAAAAAAAAATCAGTGGTAGGCCCTGAAATCAGTCCTGCTTTGCTCTGACACCAGCCATTTATCACTCGTAGGCAGCAGAATGGACGCTTACTTTCAGTGCCTTCAGCCTCTGCCTGCTCCTCACGTTGTTTCTGCTTGAATTTCATGTTGCCAAAGTGCATGATAGCTCCTACTATTTTATAGCAGCCATATTTCTCCTCGGGGCTGAAGCCCAGGATGTCCATGGCATGCTGCAGAAAAAAGCAAACAAGATACGGCTGTAAGAACAGTGTCACTGCAGTGAGAAAAAGAAACATGAACATGGCATGTGCTAGCCCGATGCAGAAGGGATGGATGGGCGATGAAAATACTGGGGCAAAGGACAAGAACACTGGGATGACTTGGATACCTGGCATTTTGGATGTTATTAAAATTAAGGAATTTTCATTAAATTAAGACAAACTTTTAAATATCATGGATTTAAGATACCTAGATTTCGGTTTTTGTTATTGCAAATTTACTGATGCTATATTTATTTATTTATATTTCCACCAAATGGCTAGCTCAAGCTCAAGGTAGCTAGAACATTTAAATGCCCATGGTAAAGTTTTAACCCTCTGGGGGCCATGAAATTACAAGCTTGTAGATCACCCCCGCCCCCCAATAAAATAGAAACAACTCATGCTTGATTGTGCAGTGGATAAATACATACATCTGTAGCCATGAGCTCATCTCCATCATCAAGGTTGTCCACAGTTGTTACACCTTGTGAGCAGAAATGATAGTCATAGGGGTTGGAAGACAACAGAAGCATATCTGAGGAAGAATGGATAAGAAATGAGCTTTTAATGTTTTGTGGTATATTGTTGGGAGGGGGGGAAATTGAAGCTATGGGACTAATGGAAAGGAATGAGCATGCAGCACCAAATCTAAATTTACATTTTGTTAAGATGAGCCAGTTTTAATACTAGTATCAAATTAAGTGGATTCCATTCCACCAAGATTTATGCTATAATCAGCGTTTTAGTCTTTCTGATAAGACTCATTTTTACTGTAGAGGGTAACATGGCTACCCACTGGAAACTGCTAATTTGAAAAAATGGACTGCATTAGTTAAAAATTCCCTTCCACAATAGATCAGCTTGCATGCCAAAGATCTGCTTGAATAAAACCTTCTTTCTTTTGAGAGGACACAACAGATTCTTCTGCCCTCTCACTGATTAACTTCTGTCATTCTTATATGGAGTATCAGAAACTGAGGATGGTTTACCCTTTCTGCTGAAATTGCTCTTTTTATAAGAAACCATAAGCATTAAGGAGCATTGAGTTTCCAAGCAGCTTTGGAAACAGCTGCTTGGAAACATTGCTGCAGGATGAGATTCAAACTGGCCAGACTTATTGTCCTCTGCATGTGTTGGCTGAAATGGCCACATAGATGAGTTTCTCTACAGTCTAAGGTAACAAATAATTTTAATTTGCTTATGTGCAAGTAACATTGTACAGGTATTTTTTTTAAAAAAAATCCACAGATTCCTGGCAGATTTAGTATTCAAGGAAAAAGATGGAAACAGACTGGCAGATTTAGTATCCAAGAAAAATTATGGAAGCAGACCCAGATCCAGCAATTAGCTGGACCTTAACTTCAGGATCAGCTTAGAGGTTAGAGCCTGGAAGGTCTCCATTATGTGGCTACTGGGAAGGCATGAACATTGCATAGCTGCATATCCTGATGGCTATCTTAAGAACACCCTTGGGCTGCTGACTGATTTAGAAGTGGTCAGCCTTGGTCTTGTGACCACCAGATAAGATTACAGTCTTCTTTGCAGCGCTCTTCAGATCTGCCTTATAAGGTATTGCTTGTCATCCCAGGGCAGGAGCAGGAGGCAATAGCCCAGAACCTTGGCTGCCCCAGGATGCTATGCTAAGCATCTGCAGCGAGCCGGAAAAGAGTTTCCTCTGTATTTCCTGTTTCATAGCATCTGGTCCCATATTCAGAAGATGCCATAAGTGCAGATCATAGTATGGATGGATGAAATCCTTTCTGAGCAACCTTGTCTTTCTCTCTCAGAGAGATCCTGCAGGCACATGATTGCAAAAGCTTCTCTACTCTTATCTATGTGAGACGTGTAAGAAAAAAGTAAAGGAGCTAGGGATGCTAAGGAATATGCCCATCAAAGCTATTTTAAGTTTTTCTCTGAGCTATTTTGAATTTTGCCTGATTTTCATGCACTCTATCTGCTTGGCTTGCATCCATTTGCATCTGGAGTCTAGTTTTTTGAGAGATTCTTTAATTTGAATCAGCTGGGTTGTGGAGCAGTGACAATTTAAGCCAACATTCTCCATCCTGATGCCTTCCAGATGCATTGGTCTAAAACACCCATCATCCCAATGACTGTGCTGTAGGATAGCTGGAAGTTATGGTCCAACACATCTGGATGGCACCGGGTTGGGAATGCCAAGAAGCTTTGTGCCTCCAAAGTACCTTCTCTCTTATGTCATGATAACAATCATGAAAAACCAGGATTCATACTGAAGTGCTTTTGCTGGTGATAACTGGGAAAGGTGGAACGGATCACCCATGCTATTCCTAGGCTCAAAGGACCTCTCTAACACCGAACAAGTGAATATTCTTGCTTTCTGAGGAGGGCCCAGCTTTAGTGTCTTGTAGAACCAGAGAGTCTGTTCTTCAGTGTGGCTGGTAATAGCTCTACCATGATTGGGATTTGTGTGTGGGTCAACGAAGATCCAGATGTTGTGGCAGAGGCATCCCATTGGACTATAATTGAATTATCCAGCCAAAATGATATATTTCCCATTTATCACAGATTAGAAAGCATTTTCTTTGGCATTCAAGATTCCAGCACACAATAATGCAGTTGAATACATGGGTTCATACAACACATTAGGCCATGGTGGTTTACCAACACAGAAACAAATTTCACTATAAGCACCCTGGAAAGCACTAGCCTTTGCACTAGGGCCAAACACTGGATAAGCCTGCATTTCAAAGGCACTAAGCCTTCCCCAACATGGTGCCATCTGGATGCGTTGGACTACAAACCCCATCTTCCCAACTGGCATGGCCAATAGCCTCTCTTGCCATTGATGGCAGCTAGGGATGCCACTGTGATGAAAAACTGCAAAATCTGTTCTTGCAGCATTCAAGGACTTCCCTGTGTGCTTGGCCCTGTCTTGGAAAGCAAGCTGAACCAAGAGGAAGCCTGCAGATGCTTGTGGAAGGAAGGTGGCATAACCAGCAAGCAACAAAGGCTGCTGCATGTGATACAGAAGAGGGGTGCTGCTTGTGCTCTGTTTCTGGTGAGCACCACATGAACTCGCCCTCAAAACAGCTTCCTCACACTTCCCTAGCCAGGCATGGATATCAGACCACTGACGTCTTCTATCAACCTGGGTCATGTGCTTTGCAGGCTGACAAATGCCTTTGCCAGTTGTTTTAACGTCTATTACCTTGGAGCTCCGCCTTCTTTCCGGAAAGGATCTGATAGTAGATGTGGTAGCTCCTCTCTCCTGGCTGCTGGAAAATCACTCTTGATTTTTCCAACAAGTCTAGAAACAAAAGATATGATATTACATTGTGGGGCTACTTTATTTTAACACACCAGAGCCAAATGAAAGACAACTTGGGATTTCATATAACACCAGGAATGCTGGGTTAGCCCAAATGCCTCTCTAGGCCAGCATTCTGTTTCCCAGAAAGGCCATCAGATACCCATGGGAAGCCCGCAAGCAGGGCTTGAGTTGATAACATTCCCCTTCCTTGCTCCCTGTCAAGTGGCCCGCAAAGACATAGGACTTCTGATGTTGAAGCCATCATGAAGCCACCCATAGCTAATTTCCCATTAATTTGCCTAATTCCTTTTTAAAGCCATGCAAGTTGGTGGCCAGCACTACTCACAGATATCAATATCAGCAGAAGCCAGCTTCCCTGATGGGCCAAAATGGATGCGGATAAACTTGCCCTAAGATAGAACAGAAAGAAAAGTGACTCATTTACTGAGCAAATGAATAAAGGCTCTAACAATGGCTTGCAAGCTCTTCAACAGAAAGCTGCCTTTGCCTGCTTTTACCATGTTCTGCTACTGAACTATGCAGCTTGCTCGGAGTTGTAGGCCTTTTCTCCATCTAACCCTGCAAGGCTGGCTAGGAGTTGTAGGTTTTTTTCTCTGTCTAAACATGCATGCGATTGCTTATTTGCACTTTTCTTACTTGAATTGCTATGTTGGAAATAGCATGTGTACATGGCACTGCACAGATTTGAACATGGATATATCCATTCTCCAAGTTATGCAGATACAGGAAGGAAGGCAGGCAGGCAGACAGTTTTCCACACTGACAGAAGTTGATTTATGGGTTCTAGCTCAATAAGGAATCCCACCTAAATGAACACTAAGAGCCAAAACAGACACAATGCTACACGTATAAGTGCAGTTGTGCACATTTTTATTATGCAGAAAACAACCACACATAATCCTGAGCAGCCCTGAAACTGTGAGGCCTCATGGAAGGGGAGACTTCATGACAAATGTAGCAGACAAAGAGGTAAATTCCCACCACCACCTTCCCAAGGCTCCCCAGGCTTTTTCTGGGCTTCCGTTTACATAATGAAAACATGCATGTCAATTCCACGTTGGTATTGACTCCATAGGTGCTTCCAGAGGGAGGGCTGCTAGTTCTAGCCATGAGGAGGTGCTGTGCAGCCATCCCAATCTTTTTCCCGCCTAAACGGATTTTCTGTAGTAAGGCCAAAGATGGACAAAGGGATGGAAAACTGGATATATTTTTCCTACTGAGGAAGGTCAGTGATGTTCTAAACATTTCTGTATGCTCACCAACAAAGGCACATACATACTGCCATAGTTGTTTAACGTATACTTACAAACCGTGAGGAGTTGTCATTTCTCAAGGTTTTGGCATTGCCAAAGGCTTCCATAGCTGGGTTAGCCTCAATGATTTGATCTTCAAGGGTACCCTAGGAGACACAACAAGGCATAGATCAGATCCCCAGTGTTCCAGTGAAGATTTGCTCAGAATGCTGCAGGAAGCAAGCAGTGGAACACACTGCAGGAAACACTGTGACTCCTTTACATCCCGATTGACACCTGGCAATCGTCATCGTCAAGGTGTCAGGAAATTTCAGCCTTGGGAAGGGACCCAACAGATCAGCTCTAGCCTGCCCTTTACTGAAACAAGATGATGGACTGAGGTGGAGAGAATTTTTGAGCAGGCTTCTTCAGACTGCAGGAAAAGGAAACTGGTATTTTCTTTAAACACTCCTCCACATAAAGAACTCTCTCTGTGTAATAAAATGGCATCTTGGGGAGAGGCGTTCACTAAACCTAGATAGGCTAGTTTACTACATGCAATGATTTTTTAAAGTGGGGAAACAGTTGAAAAATCAGTGAAACAATAAAAAATTGATCTTGCTGTTATTCCTAATGTGCATATTTTTTCTGCTAAGAATAAACCACTGAAACTAAACAATTCATCCACCCTGGCCCAAGTGTTTGAGTGCTCAGCTCTTAAAAATTTGGCTTTGACATTTCTGTGTATTTAACCAGATTTTTGGTGATGGGGTAGGGCTGCCACCTCTTTTTTCTGCAGGCTCCTCATCTTTAACAGCTTTATGGTAGGCAGGGACAATGTGGTTCCCTCCAGGCATATATTGAATTTTGCCAGTAACACTTGGTCAGAATTTCAATTTTGTTCTTTTTCTTTAAGAATATAAAAAGTTGCATAGTTTTCATATTTAAGAAGGAAATAATTGGATTTTTAAAATATAGAATACAAGATAAAGTGAAACTGATTCATCCTTCCCTACTTTAGAAGGTGCCAAAACATCAGAAATGGATGGATTTCAAATGGATATAGGAGAGGCGAACCACAAACATGAGGTAGGAAATAAAAGTGTGGATGTTTAATCTGAGTCATTTATGTAACAATAGCAGAGAATTTGTGCAGTCCTAATTCTGCCTCAGACTTCAAGTTTTTTGCTTGGTGAACATCATTGAAAATAAACATTGTGAAAAACTGAGGTGTAGATTGTATATTTCTGCAAGTTTCCCCTTCCAGATTTAACTCATTACAAAGTGAGACCTATTCTGTTTCAGACTTTTAAAGCTGAAAAATGGAAGACACTTAAGATAACAGAAAGCTAAGGTCTTAAAAATACAATGAAAAAGTCCAAATATCTATTTAAATATAAACATACTATAATAATGAAGAAATTAAAGCAAACAAAAATCTACCTTTTAATGCATTGTAATGCAGATTTTATTTCCTACAGCTTCTTGAGAATATCCTTTTCTTTTATTTGGACATATCTATGTTTAAATTACTGGAGAACAGAATTAAATCATAATAACCAGTTCACACAGCTATTGCGTTTGTGGTAACCAGAAAAAATTGCTGTGCGTATCTGCTGCTTGTCTGGTGCCAAATGCTTATGCACGGCCACTGTCAAATATGAGAGTCATCTTTCTGAATGCTCAGTGGTCTGAAATCTAGTACTGTGCTGGCTTGCAAAAAGCTGAGTCTTATGCACAACTATTACCTGCTCCTTAGGCATAATTTACTGACACACCAATAACTGTGTCTTCAAACTGGAAATCAGATTTTTCTTTTAAACACTTACCCCAGTTTTAGTGGCAGGTGCTTGCTAGAAAAAAGGTTAAAAAAAACAAATTTACAGTTCAGAAGTATAAAATCAGTCACAAAAAGTGCTATTCAAAGAGGTGGACATTCCAATTTTGTCCATAAGAATATTCAAAAATGATTAACAATTTCAATTTTAAAAAAAACAACATTAAAAAATACACCAAAAATATGTTAAGTTGATTAGATCAAGATAAAGAACAGCACCAAGAAGCAAGAGGGTTAAATCCAAACCCAGGGAAGGAAAACAATGCTGGTGAATTTGGCTTTGCGTACCCAGAGTTCAAAAATAACCAATAAGAAAATAAGCTACTGCAAGGATATTTAAGGAAAAAAGAAAAGGAAAGAAAAAGGAAAGAAAAAGAAAAGAAAAAGGGAATGCAAGATGAAGAAAGAGAGTAAGAAAACATACAGGATGAAAAAGAATCAAAAGGAACAATAAAGATAATGGGGTTGGGGAAGATCAAAAAAGCAAGGCTTAAAAGAAAGAGTTACAAGATTGTCTTGGGGAATTTCCAGCTCCCTTTTTGTTTTGTTTTTTTAGTAGAAAAATAAAAGGTGCGGAGGTGAGGGAATCAAGCCAGTGACTTAAAAAAACTTTTAAGGCAGCCACTGCTTGGGTTTTAAGCACCCACTTTATGAAGCTCCTTCCCCAAAAGCAACTGTTTCAAGCCTTGCTTGTTTCAAAGTAAAAGAAAAGGCCATGTCCAAACACGCTGCCAAACACGAAAGAAGTCCAAAACAAAACAAAAATGCACAAAAGAAAACAGCCAAAAAAGCACGTTTTTCAAATGAAGGCCTTACTCCTTTCTTGCCCGGAGAGTCACCCAGGGCTGCGACAATGGCAAAGTATTGAATGACTCGCTTGGTGTTTACAGTCTTACCAGCACCAGATTCTCCGCTTAGAGTAACAGAAATACATAGATCAAGAACATGAAGCAGTGACTGTCAAAGATTGCACAGACACACAGAAGGAGCCAGACAACATCCCAAACATTGAAAAATATACAATCAAGTTAAGGTGGCAAAGGAGGTCTATCACATAGCCATCCCACCCAGTCTTGGGCAAGGCTGGCACCAACAGTAGGCATGGTTAGGCATCTGCCACGGACCTGCACTGCCTGTCAACAAGACCCTCCTAGAGCTGTTTCTCCTCTTCATCAGTTCAACCTGCTTGCTCACTTGCCTCTCATTCTGGCCCAGACAACAATGATGGTGCAAAGGAAAAGAGAACCAGGAAGTGCCATTATCTACTTACAGGCTCTCTGCTTGTCAAGCAAGCAAGTGGTAGCACTAATGAGAAAAACAATAAGGAGCAAAAATAGCTACAGATAATGGTGATGAGAGGGGGGGGGCATCTAAAGGTGTCTTGCCCAAGGATCCTCCAAAGCATAGACTCGGCACTGGTCTTGGGTTTATTTGAGTTAGGTGGCATCTGGCATGCAGGGTACATTTGTAGCATGAGATATTCCAAGGTCCCTGAAGAGCAAGGATAATGATGGAGCTGTCTTAACATTGTTCCTGAAATGGTCTAGGAAGATTATGCCTGCATAATCAACCTTTGTCCACTGCAGAGAGATGGGGGACCATGTAGGCAGAAACATCTATACAGATTTCTATGTGGGGATCAAGAGTGCATTTGACCTCTCCAAAAGAAAAAAGAAAAAGAAACCCCCTCATTTATATTAACCTTCACCATCCTCCAAAATTATTGGACCGCAATACCCAGAATTCCCTACCATTGGCTATGATATGCTAGTTGGGGCTGATAGAAATTGGAATCCCAAACATCTGCAGGATGGCAGGCTGAGGCAGGTTGGTTTTGATGAACCAACACCTTGTACCTAGTACAGGAATGGGCAAAGGTAGATCTGCAGAATCTGAACTTCAGTTCCCAGAAGCCCCTGCCAGCATGGCCCATGATCAGGGATGCTGGAATTTGGAATACAAATAATGGGAGATGTACTTTCTGCTCACATCTGCCTAGAGCATTTTCAAAGAGTGTGACCTCAGAGCTTTTAGAAGGGGCACTTTGCCTAGAGGTTGGTTTATGAGGAAAAGGAACCGAGACAGCTGCACTGGTGCATTTTTTTTTTTCTTCATAGTGGGCCTGTTTGCCATGAGCAAGAATGAATGAGACACAGATGGTTAGCAGTCCTCCAAGAGAAGGAGAATACAATTGAGGATATGTGTGTTGCTTGACCATCATCCTCTAAATCTATTCCCCTCCCACCAGTTCACGCTGAGGAGTAATTTCATTCTTTTTCTCCGTTTGTATGAAATAAAGAGGCTTGGGGATTCCACCCACCCCCTTCTCCACAGGCACTGAATTCACAAATTTCTCAAGTAGAAAATGCTTTAACCCTCTCTTGGGGAAGGAGCAGAGAGGAAACAGCCCTTCCTCTCATTTCAGTAGAAATCCCCAGAAAGCTTCATTCACCCACAGTGCAGAAGCAGCTCCTCAAAATAGAGAAGCTTTGGCACAAGCCCAGCAGGGTGTCTCCAGGGTCCAGGCTTCTTCATCACTGGGGTGAATATCATCTTCCTGTGTACAAAGCCCTGTGGCACTGACTGGGCATTGATTTCATGCCTATAGTTAGCAGTTCTTCCATTGTAATCCCAGCACACAAAGAGCCAGGCTGGGGGGCGGGGGGGGGGGTGAGCGAGTCCTTCTCAGGACAAGAGCCAAACATCTCATGCTATCAGCCCCTGCTTTACCTAATTAGGCCATGACCAAGGCTTCAAGCACCAGGGGGTTCTGGCAGCAGATTAGGCTTTATATAGCTTTCTCAACATGGTTGTTTCAGTCAACTTGTCTTACTACTTCTCCCCCTTCACAATTGGGCCTCAGCCACTTCTCTTCCATAATCCTTTGCTTCACCCCATTTCTGCCAATGTTTCCTGCTTTGGCGGTGAAGTATTCCCCCGCACAGAACTTTGCTCCCCCACCAGCCCCCTACTAGCCCTCTACTCATTCTGAGCTCTCCCAAAACCTGTCTTTAAGCTGTCACCACTCATCGGCCACCCAGAGCATGTTTCCATCCCCTTTCATTAACCCCCTCCATGCATACATATTGCCACCCAATCTCCTCAGAGGTTTACTCCATAATTCCATATGTCATTAACAAAGTTGTGTTTTGTTGCCCTGGATCTTGTCCAGGTGGCCAGCACAACCAGTGACCAACTGAGCTAAGGCAGCCTACAAGCCAGGTTTCGTAACTTATCATTATCAGGGACATGATACAACATTGCTGTGGCTGTAATAAAAGATAAATTGCTGTCAAAAATCTCAAAATGCACTGCTCATGAGTGCTTGAACTAGGTCTAATTTAAGGGTCTCAGGTTGTGCAGACTTGCTACATATTTTTTATTGTGTCATGTTCATGGGTGCCTCAGAATCTTTGTTTCAGAAATGGATTTCTTTAATTGGATTTTTTCCATGAGATTTTCTTGGAATAACAAGAAATGTTGCCCAAAGAACAGATGGTACAATAGGAAGTACAATATTCAAAGTATTACCAACCACATACTGACAGAAATTTTCTGTCCCACTTTTTGTTGGCAATGTCCTCTTGGGAGGGCTGTAGCAGCTGTTAGTTGATATGTAAGAGCCAGGAAATCTGTCCAGGGTGTGTGCGGGAGAGCTCAAGCAACAAATTAGAAGAGGGAAAGAAGTGTAAAGAGGCACCAATGACCCTCAAAGATTCTGCAGCATGTGCAAACGTTTTGGCTTTCCTTTCTTAGCAGGGAGACATGGTAAATTTCCTCCATCTACAGTTGGTTTTGTTTGTATCCAAACATTAGGGGCAGGAAAGAATACCAGGGCTCAATGCTTAACTCAAAAACAAATATGATACAAATGAAACAGTGGTGCAGATAAAGACAGCACTTACGTGATGAGCATAGACTGGTTCTCCCGATCTGCAAGATACAGAACAATTGTTAGACTTATACACATTACTGTTGGACACTACAGGTCATTAGCATGGGTCCTCCCCTTACTCAACTGTTAGCTTGGGTTTTATTTCAGCAACTCTAGTTGAGAAGAGAAATTGGAACTGACTATCACCCACCCACTCCACTTAAGCTCAATATTATGGCCACATCCCCATACATATTCTCACAGAGTTGCATTCTAATTAATTTGCATTCATCAGAAAGCTATGGCCCTATGTGAATCATGAGCACACACCAAGTGTGTGTGTGTTGGGGGCGGATCAGAATTGTCTGGTTGGAAGGCATATCATGTGGAAGCTAAGTGAAGTTCACCCATTAAAGCTAAACATGAGAGAGCACTTTGGAATTCTAGGTATGCCACCTTGAATTTTATCACGAAAGAGAGATGAAATAGCAATGTAACAATGATATTGAAATTAAGTCCTCTGTCTCCACTCCTGACAATCATACGTTTATGCAAAGATCTCAATAGAACAGGAATATGGAGGACTTCTTTCAGGCAAAGGGTCACATTCACTTTTGGGGATGCCCTTGGAATGATCAGGGCAATGGGGGTATGGTCAAAGGCAATGGGGAAGAGCCAAAACACAAAATGCCACTACATTTTAGCTTAATGCTGCCCTGAGAGTACCTAAACTTTAGTAGATGCATGTAACAAACAAGACAGGAGTCAAGAAACTATCACACTATCACAGTTTGGCAGGGAGCAGGAAAAATGAATGTGACCATCTGGAGTTAGTCAAATTTTGGCTCTTGGCCTACAGTTTTCCACCTCTGGAAGAACTTATGTACAAATTATACGAGTGTAGACATAACTGTAAATTCTGTGGAAGGCAGGATCCCTGGCTATAGATAGTTGTCAGTGTATGGGCTCTGTTCAGACCTTTGGATGGATGCCCTGAAGTCAGTGTCAGGGTCTCAGTTCTGAGATGCACACTTTCACTGAAGATATGCACATTTGAACATAAAGGATGTGTGTGTGAGCTCACAAATACACACACACAGCACAAGCATGCACAAAATACATCCAGGGCACATCAGAGAGAAGGATTCCAGCTCAATCAATACGCATAAACAACATGCATTGCATTTTTGACAAAGAGGCACATTTAAACATGTGCTACACACAGTGCTTATTGCATTCTGAATGGGAGGACTTCTTTCTTCTGAACATTTGATGAGGGAGCTGATGGAGAAGTTCCCACAAGCAGCTGGGATGTACAAATAATGGGCCACTCTTGTAGCAGTTAGCATCTGGTGCCAGGAGCACAGAGGACTGTAGCAGCTGCTTCCATGATCAGAAAGATCACAGAGTGCAATCCCAGAAATAGCTGCTATTTTTTCCAATCCAAGAAAGAATTGCTAAAATCTTATACATGGTCCTGCTTCAGATAGTAAGTGACACATAAACAGATCATCATTAAAAAAAAAAAAAAAAGATCTGCCTTGCCTCTTGGATAAAGGACCCTTTTCTTTGCTCCCTGAATCCTGCTTGTGAGGTATGTCCCATTCTTGTGTGGAGATGGAACTGATCCTAAAAGTGCTGTACATCACCAGACTTTAGGAAAGTTTTAAAGTGTGCTTCTCCCAGCTGTGTGTGCGTAAAGCAGCTTTCTCCAATCTGGCATGTGTTTCACTACAGCTTCCAGCAATCCTGACCATTGGCCATCCAGACTGGGACTAATGAGAGTCCAAAGCCTCAGGTTGGGGAAGGCTTTGGTATGAGTATATGGGTAGGTTAGCTTTCCAATTCCCCTCTTTGCTGCAGTTTGATGAGAGGACAGATACAAGACTTACTGCGCAACATGTCATTGTAGGCATTGTCCGCAATGGAGTAGATGTGGGGTGGGGCCTCAGACCTCCGCTTGCCTTTATAGGCTGCTACAACAGGAGCAGTATAGACCGGGAGCCATTTATATGGGTTTATGGTGACGCAGAACAAGCCTGAGTACGTCTGGAGGGAAAGAAAGAGACTGATGAGGGAAATCAGAGTGAGTGCCAGGAGCAGGTATTAGCATGTAATTGCCAAGGCCTACTTCCCAGGAAGGGGCCACTCCCAACCTCTGGAGCCACCTGGCAGGTGAACTGTGATGGAGATAGAGCAGCGTTCTCCCTTTGGCTCTGAAGAGTTATCGTCTGAGATGTGGTTTGAGTCCAGAGAAGGATCACAAGTGGATGAGCCGTGGTGACAACAGTGAGGAGAAGGTGGGTCGACAGGGAGCTGACCCAAGGGCCCTCCAAGACTATGGGGACTAGATTACTGAGGTGAACCTTGGTGGCAGGATGGCACTTTTCGAAGGACGGAAGAGAACCATCTCGCCACCACTGCCGTGTTTTAGACCTATATGTAGTTACTCCCCAGGAACATAAATTGCATATTATAAATTGGAACCACGCTTTTAGAAAAAATGCGTATTAGGAAAAAATGCTTTAACTTTAAAAAAAATAAAAATCTAAAACCTCTTCACTTGTACCCCACCACTGAGAACTGAATTGTTACCCCTGTTTGAGAACTCACTTTTCTCAGTCAAGTATTGTCTGGACTTGTTTATTATATTTTGTAAATGGAAGTCGAATCAAAGGTATAATATGGCCATTTCCATGTATCTATAACCAGAAATGGAGGAAAAATTGTGGAAGTTAAAGGTGAGGAAATCATGACATGCCTTGCTATTTGAGATAGCAAATGAATATATGGGAAGCCATGTTTCATAGCAATGGGGAGAAATCTGTTTTGGTCAATGCCAGTCTTTTGGTTCACACACATAAGTGAGAATCAAGAGAGCTTCTCTTACTTACATAGATCATCCATTTGGAATACCGCCGTTTCAGGTTATGCAGCACAGAGGCCTCATTGAGGTGAGTTAACATGGCCATGTCTTCAATCATGTCAAATTTGGGAGGATTCATTTGCTGAACGTCATCCTCCTTAACAACAACAGTCTGTAGGGAATCAAACAAAAGAACTTTGTTAAAGGGACACTACACAATCCTGCAAGATCCTGCACAGGTTCCAGTTCCGAGGGTTAAACCCAACATCAGTTGAGTGGTCTTTTGCTCAGACAACAGGACTTTCCTTCCCCTGCCTACACACCCTGCAAATTTGGGTGCAAATCTTCAATTCCCAGGAGCAGATCTGGAGAGGACGCAGATGGAAAAGAAGTCTGTTCTTCCAGCTGATGGCATTCTGCAGGCAAGCAGCCAGCCTTAACTCCAGTCCTGAACTATTTGCTTCATAAACCCAACGGAAATCCAAAGGAAGATTTCAGCGTGAAATGGCTGAATTAAAATTTAACAAGAAGTTTGACTTTATTTATTTAGGCTTGGATTAGAACAATTATTTTCAGCCCCATGACAGAAACTTGGGTAAACATAGTTAAAAACTATGGTAAGTGTTTAACTTACCATAGCAAAACTAAGATGGTTGTGCTATATGTTATTGCTGCTGTGAAGTCGTGTCAGGTTTCTTCTCTGAAGCATTTCACAGCATGTACTTCTTCCATTCGGTAGCTAAATGGTTTGTGGTTCACTACCCCTTGCTCTAAAAGTTTTTCCCACGTGAGGCTGTTAATCCACTGTTGGTTTTGTTGCAGAATTGATAGGCCAGCACTATATGAGAAATGTTTACTGTGCTGCTTTTCCACTGGGTAACCTCTAGGTGGCACTTTGGTATAGGGGGATAGTGCAAATACACAACTAAAAAAGCACTGTCTTTTGGTCTTACAATTAAATACTGCACTTCTGCAGCTCTGAAAAAAGCCTCAGAGGAAGTACAACATAAATGAAGCCAGAGGGTCACAACTTTGTCCAAAGAACCAATAAATAAAAGTGAGTAGCGTATGACAAGTGCATGATAAATATTTCACACAGAAAAGCCCCTACCTAGCAGTGTATGTCTATATGTACACACCAGCCAACTGTGGGTAACACTTAATGTATCTGATGACTTGGCTATAGGCCACAAAAGCTTGTGCTATAATGTTTTTAGTCCTTAAGAAGTTGTAAGGTTCCTTCAAACATAAGCCCACCAACCACAGAGTGACAGCAAAAGAGAGAGACCTGGGATAGTTCTTCTGCTGCTGCTGCTGATGATGATGATTAAAATAAAAATAAACAGAAAGAAAAACACAGAACAAAAAAGAAGATACCAAGGGACCTTGTACAAAAATTGCTTGATGTGGGAAGTTTCATAAAGAATCAGCAAAAATAATTATATCATCTAAACGTATAAGTACAATTTTATGTGATAATGCATAATTATAAATAATGCTTATTAAATTGGACAATAGCCAAATAGCTGGGATAGTTCTTAACACTGCCTTGTCTATTTTGCAGTGTTTTAATAGGTACTGTAAAACCATCCTGGAAAAATAATGACTATTCCTGGTTTTCCAACAACTGACCAACATGGAAGCCATCTGTCTTTCACCAATGACCCATATTATTCTAAGAATAAACTGTAACTTTTAAGAAGTCCCACTTCAGATATCACATTGCAATGTGTTTTGTATCTATTTCTCTGACTTCAAACAAAAATGATCTAGTAAAGGTACCATACCAAAAGTCAGAGTAATATCTCACTGCTCACAAAAGCCATGTTTAAAATCTTTCCTACACCCCATTAAAATTAATGCCGAGCCTTGTGCAGACATTAACCCCGGGGTGGGGGGGATGCAGTGGGAACACACAGGCAGTCTCCACTCCTGGTCTCCAGTCAGTTAAATGCTTGGACAGCAAGTCAGTGCAGACATAACTGTATGCAGGGTCAGGCAATTTACTGCCCTCCGGAGTTTCCAACTATAACTCCGTAAGACCGAGCTGGCATGGCCAATGGTCAGTACTTATGGCAATTGTAGTCGAAAACATCTGGGCAGAGCCAGGCTGCTTATCCCAGACAGCCCATGAGCGTAGATCTCTTTCAGCAAAGCTTGGAAGTCATCCAGTGCTCAATCCAAGATCCCAACAGTGTGAAGAGAAAGCTGACCAACTGAGTACAATCTAGCTGTCCTACCATATGGCCCACAAGCAGTGGGAACCTCCCTGAAGGGGGACCTAATTCCATTTAGTGGGGAAGGGAGGAGAGGAATTCACTTTGGAATCAATTTTCTTAATTAGATAGCTTTCTAACTTGACACATGTCTTTTGTTAATAACTCTCCCTTTGTATGATAAAATCAGCCTGACTGGTCTACTTTAGCATAATAAAAGACTATAGTTATAAGCCTCTAGTCTTGATCTGTTTGGAAGGAGAAATGTGGTGATGGAAAGACATTTTACAACAGGCTGCTGCATGTAAGCATGTGAAATATCTCAATGAAATTGGAAGCAGGAACTCCATGTGAATTTCCACTTCCCCTCTGTCCACATCCTTTCCTTCTAATGTCTGCGTAAGTGTTGAAAACATCCATTTTAAGATTGTGTCCTGAACTATAGCATTAAATAAGCAATTCAAAGTTATTTTTATTTAAATTTTCACAAATACAATGTCACTTATTGGCTGAGGTATGCTACAAGTTGTAGGACATTTTTCTTTTTAAATGTGCATAGAGTTTTTCCCATCTTTATGTATGTGCTCTAAGTAATAAATGAAAAACTACCAAAAATGCATGAGAGAGTAGCTTGGTAACAGAATGGTGCCTTGGCAGTTTTGGGGATTTCCTTCCTTAATTTTTTGAGGAAAAATATTGGGCAGTTTCTGATAAAAGATTTATAAGCACAGGATGTAGTGTTTCATGCAAATGATTGGAAGAGACGACAACTCAGCCCCTTCCAAGACTGTGATCCTGAGATTTCAAATTACTCCCTTTGTGTATTGGCCATACTCAGAGAACTACTTTACATTGTTTTCTAGCTCTCAATAGTAGCTTGGAAATATATGAAGACAGACTGTTCATCACAGTGTTTTACTAGACAATGACTGGCAACCCAATGCTACATGTGTCTGCATGGAAGTAAATGCCATTGACATTAAAGAGTGGAGCCTTAGGGATTTAATAGGTCTTAGTCATGTCTTATCGTGACTCCTGTAATTACACTTCCATTGCTCCTTGGTATATGTGGCTGCCACTGTCATGGGTCTGCACAGATAAATATAACCTAAAAAAATAATATGCTGCAGGATTTTAATCAGGAAGGTCTGAGGTTATTTAGACAAACAGCTGAAGTGTACAATTCATTACTTATAATAACTGGATTTAGTTATAAATCCAAGAACTGGAATAGCTATCATATTGCACAACTGTGCCTGATTAGAACCAATTACATTTAACAAATGTTACTGCTCATCTAAGAAGAAACGGTTTTTCCTGCAGTAGCTTAATTGGGAAGGTATATGGTTCAAAGCATCACTGTGGACTCAGGAGTCACAAAGAAACACGTAGCTAGGCATTGACAAAGTGACGCGGGACTTGGTTAACTGGTCCCATGGACTAAGAACAATATTTTCTGTGCATCCTTCAGTTATGTACTTGCTTATTAAAATACAGATTCTATCACATATTGACCCTTAGTTGGGATTTTTAATGACGACATTAGAGACTATAACCCATGCCTACATATACCGTATATTAAAAAATTTCTAAAAAGTAAATATAAAAATCAATAACCCTCTCATCCCTAATTATCAAATGCATGATTTACAGTATTGTATGATGCTGTTTCAGGTGGGAGCTTCTTAGTGGTGGCTCACTGACTGTAGAATCCTTTCACCTGGGCTAGGGATAAGCAACGTGGTGCCCATGGGCACCAGTGTGCCTCCAGATACCATCCTTGGTTTCCACTGATACACTGTACTTGTCCTAATTTTATTTAATTTTTTAAAGAGAAATGGTTTTTCTTACTGGGAGCTGAGGCTGCTTCAAGACCAAGTGGGAGCCTCTACTCGTTTCCATGCTAATTTCCCATGAACAGCTTTCTGACTATGTCCACCCATACCAGTCATTTCGTGATTGTGCCCAGAACAGTTTCTGAAATCTCCAAATGTGCCAAAGGACTCACCTTGCCTGTGAACACATGCTGTACACATATTCCATCCGCTGCTAAGTGTCAATAAATATTAATTTATTATCCTGAGGCTGTAGTAATGTATGCTTTTAATCATTTGTTTGCTGGTTCGTTACAAAATGTTTTGCTGTCTTTCTATAGAATTTTAATACTTATAAAAAGGCAGCTGGCAAACATTATCTTAAAAAGAGCATTTCTCCTCTTCTCACAGATAATAATATCTCCTAAGACAATGTCTTTTATGCCAGCCATGTCCATTATACAAAAATCAAGGCAACTTTTTGTTTCTATAATATTGTTTTTTCTCATATGCCAATTTAATCAATTTATAAAGTCATTAATCAATTAATAATCATATGATTAATTTACTAAAGGTGCAATTCAGTGTATGTCTAGACAGAAGAACATGTTGGCTGGGGAATGCTGGGAGTTATAGGCCTTCTTCCTGCCTAAATATGCATATATTGTATCCTGAAATTTCTTTAGCTGGATGACATTCCCAGGATTAGCAGATTTTTGAGCAGCTGCTAGACTATTAAAAACTATCCAGTATTGTTTGATCTTGAGAGGGAGAACTTAATCACAGACAATAAAAAACAAAGAAAGATCAGAACTTTGTAAAGTAATAGTAAAACAAAATTTATTCCTATTTACACTGAAGTTAGAGCTGAGTCAGTTAGTGAGAGTGCTGTCCAATATGGCTGCATGTAGCACTTCTAGTTTGGAGGGTTACAAGCATCCCATCAAATGTGGGAGACATGTGGAGGTCAAGACTACTTCTGTACTTTGCCCTCCCCACAAACAACTTAGACAAGTGCTTTCAGCCATCTGCGTATTTTGCCCTTAATTGCAAGGGGAAGGGGCTGAAGTGCAGCTAGGATTCCTGATAGCCCAGCAAAACCTCACTCCCCCCACCCACCTGGATTGATCCCCTCATACGCACAGGCTCCAAAGTCACGCTTGCAACTTTGGAGGTGCAGCAGCCATGGAAAGAGCTGTGCCAATTGCAAGGGTAGAGGGAGAGCACTCTGAGGTCAGGGTTCCACTTGCAACCTCAGAACGAACTTCCAAGGACAGTCATGGGACTCCAACCTATCTTATGGCCATCTAGACAGTGTTTAGTGGTCATAGGATTGTGCACGAAGGTACAGAAGTCCAGCACAGATATCCACACCTTGCTGCTTTCCTCTCCACCATTGGTATAATGTAGGCTTCATGAAGTCAGGTAGAAACAAAATCTTTACAATCTAATGTTGCCATGGTTTTTAATTATCCAGGAAAGAGCTAGCATAATTCTAGTTTTATCAAAGAGGGGCTGTCAGTCACTGGAAAGTGTTGTGAAACAGCTTTAAAAAAACAGCAACAACAACTGAAAATGTTTCTGTTAATAGTGCTCATGGTATTCGCTGCAGCATTTAATTTATTCCACAGATTATCACTTGACTGAAAATTCATTTGTTGAATTAGCTCTAATAAAAATATATATTGCTTAAGAAAAAATAATTCCTATTTCCTGTGTAGTATGATGACTGAACTGAGGTAAAAACATAGCCTATTTCAACAATTTCCTGAGCTAATGAGATAATCCAATCCATTAATTATGGAAATACTTGTACTGCTGATGTGATGACCTGGTTCATGTAGCATGGCAACCATCCATGGGCAGTGAGCCATAGATAGTTATCGTATCATCCGAACCCAGCCCAGGTTACCCACAGTGCCTTTGTTCCAAACAGGCCTGTTGCAGAGTTTATTTAACCCATGGTGGGTTGTCATGCCATCCAAAGTGGACAACCAATCCCTCGGTGGGTAAAATCCAGCAGCCAGTGAGGTGCTGATCAAGAGCAGCTCATGGCCCTTGTATTCTTCCCATGCTCTCCCTGGCCACCACCAGTGCCAACAGTCCCACAAGTTCTCACACAGAACTCAGGGGCAGCCCACACTGGTTTGCTCTATCAGCACCACAGTCAACAGTGATTTTTGACTCGCAATGGCTTTTTTGCACTTAAACTTAAAAAAAAATCACAACAGCCAACCTGAGTTATTTTTGTCAGGGGCATATGGCTATCTGTGTCCCAGGCAACCACTCTCTTGCCCTCCTATAAAGGGACAATATCTGTTAAAATTCCATTCCCGTGAAAGTAGGGGTGAACATTTGCGTTATCCTTAGCATCTACAGTATTGTGTTGAGCAGGAAAGTACAAAATGTCTTCATCCTGAGGACTATCAGGGTGAAAAAACTGGATGACATTGATGTGAAGAGGTGAAAAAGTGCCCAGTATACTTTTTGTGAACAAAGAGCTTTCACACCTTTGCTTTGTCTTGACATTTTGCTTTCTGACAGCTGTCAAATGAAAGCAAAGGGGAAAGGAGCCTATTTGGAGCCTCTCTGAGGTAATGTCCATGACTAATTGTTTGTTTGTTTGTTTGTTTGTCTGTTGGATTTTTATCACACCCATTAAACAATAAGGCCCCCTGAGCAATAGTCCTGCACTTTGACAGGACATTGCTCAAACCAAGACTTTAAATTCCCACAGATGTACAAGTACTGCTCATTTATCTCCCCCACCTACTCAAAATTGTGCATTTATGTGCATAATAAAATAAAATATCTACCAGCCACTGCTAGTCTCCTCAAGGTCCCACTGAAGCACATTGAAAGGGCTGTCAAAACAGGATTGTGAGGGATGACTGCCAAGTCAGCTTTCACAATTTTTCCCTACCCCACTCAAAAAAAAAGTTAAAGTGCTAAAATGCTGCAGGAAAGTGACAATTATTGGTAACTGAAGTAGGGAGAAATGATTTAGTACTGCTGCAGTGCCCTTGAGATACTGCCTAGGGGACTGAGGAGGAAGGAGGAAGGGGAGAGCAGGGAAAAACAAACAACCCATGGTGAGAACAATAATCTGTTGGGTATACCATGGGTTGTTCACAAAACAAGCAAGGCATAGTGGCTTACTTCCAGGTTGGGCTGATGTGACATATGAACCCTCCCAATATATGTGTACTTTGCATACATAGGAAAAAGTGCTATAAATGTACAGTGTATGTAATATCCTATGCTTGATACATTCAGGAAGTGGGGGAGGAAGAAACATCTTTTTCAGTTATTGCTATAGTTCTTAATGTTGCTTTCAATGTTTTACTGCAATTACACCTAATTGTGTGTGTGGTTTTTTTTTAACTCCATGTTTGGTTTTTGTATACATTCTCAGAACGGCAATTTAGAAATACAATGGAAAAACAAACAAATAAATCTAATGGCATGGTGGCCAGTTCTTACAATACAGCAATGGCAAAGTTATTACTCTCCATGTTTCCATCTCATGGTGCTACAATAAGATTTAACAGGGAAGATAGTGTGGTAAGAAATGATAAAGAGGTTACTTCCAACATTTGGGTGGAGAGGTGTCTAATTACAATTGTAATAACCAAGTCATTGAAAGATCAGTATGGGATGGAGCCATGGAAGTCAAGTAACCATATCATTTAACTTCAGAACTTATTTTGACTCTTGATCATTTCAAAATTGGGAATGTTTCTGACCCATATTTTTAAATACATCTGTACTCTCCCTTCATTCATCTTTTATACAATCACAGACAGACATGCCTTGCCTTTCTACCCACCTCCCTGCCTTTCAAACCTGTCTACTAGTTGGGAAACCTACCTTTTTATCTTTGGTTTCCACAGTGACTTTGCCACCTGAGGATTCTTTGATTTCAACTTCAATATATGCTTCCTTTTCATCTGGGATCCAGGCCCTCTTCTTTCCTTTTTGAGCCACAAAAGAGAAAATAAAGGCAGAGGGAAAGTTACAAAAACTAGCACCATTGAACTCAACCTTATATTGTCATCTTTTCTCCCCAGTAATTGGAGCTGGATGCTAGGTGCTTGTATGATGATTTCTGTTTCATTTCTTCCTATGTTTAAGGATTGATATGAGCATTCTACCGTTGTGTTGTATGTATAAACTTAAAAATAATCTAATAGATTACAGGTAAATCATGGATCAAGAGCAAGAGGTGAGACAGCAAACTTTCCTAATTCAAATGTATTTGAAAAAAAAAATCAGTAAAAATATCTTTCATTCAAAACTGTAGTAACTAAATTTTGTAATTGCGGAAGAGGTTAGATTACATATTAGGTTTGTTTGTTTAAAGAAAAACAAAGTTTATACTATTATTTGTTTTCAAAACTCTTTTCAAGTATAGATACAGTTTTCAAGATCCTGATCATATTTTAAGTTTGTTCAGCTCTACCTAAAACAAACTTGCCTTAGATAAATGTCAATCATTTAAAAAAAATCTAAGTGTGGAAGAGATATAACTTGCAAGTGTGAACATTTTGGATACCCATGCAAGCATTCTGATTCTGATGGGGGTTTGTGTGCACAATTGTAGACAATTACTAACTTGAATCATTTTAGAATTCTATTAAGCATTTCTAAAACTTTGTGATCAGATACACTGTAATTTGCCCTAGTTTAAGCCAGATATGTGACATTTCTAGTCACAATTTTAAGAGATCCCGAAGACAGTAGTTTTTTCCACAATTTGTTCTGAAATGATTTTCCTGTGACATTTTTATCCTCAGGGGTGGAGTCAGGTGGCAAATTAGAAACAGAAGCATTATCTTCCCCTATTCTTGGTGTACTAGCCTTGAGGTATTTATTTTGAAACCAACCAGATCATCCCTGGAAGCTGTAGCAAAGGGAGTAGAATAACCCACATGTAATACGATAATGGCAGGGGTGGAAAGGTGTATGTCGGGAATCTAGTACCCATTCCTGCAGTAAATTTTAGTGTGGCAGATGGTTAAGAAACTGTTTCCTGAACTAACGTTCTCCACATTTTATTTGTTTATTTATTTATAGTAAGTAGGTATTTCTAGCTCATGCAGTAATTCCAGAATTACTTTCTTGACTTCCCTAATTTACATATTATTCTAGTGGCATAGCTGCCATGGCAAACACAAATCGCATAAGTACCTCTCTGGATAGGTAGCTACAGCTTTGAACCATGTGCAGTTAGAAGTTTGGGAAACCCACCCAAATGAAGCTTTTCCTGAGAGAAGATATAAGGGTCCCAATTCACAGAAACCAGTAATTAGTCCTAAAGATACCTCACATAATCTGAGATTAGGGCAATAGCCAAAAATGTGAGATCAGGGCAACTTAATATATAAACTGGTCCTAAAAAGTAAAATGAAAGGGAATAACCACTGCTTCCCTTTCTTTTCCATTAGCACCAAAATGGTAGAGCAAGAGGACAATTAAATGAGGTTGTACTTACAGAGATGGCAATAGCTTCACCTAATCCCTACCCCCTTTTAATTAGAGCTATGTTTCCACAGTCAAATACAGGGATCATAAAGAGCGATATGCTTCACAGAAATCTCAATCATTCCCATGAGTTCGCTATGGTAAAATGAGAGCAAGCAATACCATAGCAAAATGAGAGCAAGCAATACTATAGGTCCCTTACAGGAGATTTTCTCAAAACATTGAACTACTATATTTATTTATTTATTTATTTATTTATATTGCAATTTATATCCTGCCTTTTTCCTACAAAGGGCTCAAGGCAGCTTACATAACCTCTCCTCCTCCATCTTATCCCCATAACAACCCTGTGGGGTAGGTTGGGCTGAGAGTCTGTGACTGGCCCAAAGTCACCCAGTTGGCTCCATGGCTGAGTGAGGACTAGAACCCAGATCCTCTGAGTCCCAGTCCCATGCTCTTCACCACTACACCACACTGGCTCTCAGTGTACTATCCAGTCAGAGATGAAGCAGGATGTAGTCCAACACATCTGGAGAGCACCAGGTTTTGGGAAGGTTGTCCTAGAGAAGTCAACACTCAGAAAGAGAGTAGAGGAAGCCAAGACATGCAATTGTTATCTTACCATCAAATGGCATAGTTTGATATTTCATCTGCTCCTGATAACTTTTCCGGAGGTACTCAGCAGCCTCCCCAAACTCCGTCATGTCATGCATAATAGGAGTACTCATCTTGTCTACTAGAAGGAGACAATACTGGAGAGCAGGAAACAGAAAAGCCAAACACTCTAGAACAGTGGGAAAAGAGGGTGCAAGTGTAATCTTAGTCCACCAGCTGAGTATGCAAAGCTGTAATAATAACTACTTTCAGTATCAGTCACCAGAAAATGTTCCCTTTCATTTTTCTATCTTAGACATGTAAAAGACTCCTCCTATGACAAATAAGAACTAGAACAACATTAGTTTGGCCAGTATAGCCTAGATATAAAGGTTTCTATAAACTATAGTCCATCAGCCTTCACTCTATCCAGCTAAAGTCAATTTGTTACCCAAATGAAGCATCTTATTTTCTGCAAGGTGAACCAATGGTGGCCATCTCATTCAAGCCTATGCATGCTTCCAATATAAAAACCCATTGTTTAGCAATACACTTTTCATACACTCCGTCACACCATTACTCTAAAACATAAGCGTAATGCTAGCCATTTGTTAAGGTAATCCTGTAATAACAGGCATGGTCTTCCAGGGTCTACATCACTATTATTGTTTAATGGAATACATCAATGTGCTTTTGAATTTATAAAGCAAGAGTAATTTCTTGAATGAATGTATGTTAAGTGATTATCAATATACATGCTCGCTTCAGTATTTAAGAAATGCTTTGCTGAGTTAGACCAAGTTCCAAATAGGGCAAAGTTCTTTGCAAGCATCCCTGGAATCAGTGGGCACTGGGCAGAGATGCAGCTTAAAACTGACCAGTAATTCACTAGTGCATTGTCCTCTCTCTTCTGCCGACTCTTGCTACAGTGTACCTGAGTCTGCCTCTGCTGGAGGTTCCTACCGTAGTGGCATCAGTGATGGGCAGAAATCCCACATGTTATCAAGAAGGCAATTGTTAATTTTACAAAAAGAAGCACCTAACACAACATGTTCCCAATATTAGACCTACAAAAGAGTGATCCCTGCAGCGAGATATTCACTATGGCAATACCACTCAGTATTTTCCAAGCAGCTCTTGCTGCTAGTCTGGCAGATGGTTCCCACAGCAGAAAACAGCATCTGTGGTCAGTGTCCATGCATACTAAAGCACGACATCAGTAAAAGCAGACAGTTGTGCGGCTCACATCTTAGTGCATGCACTTGTTTCCCTTTGATTTGTTCCTTTGGCCGCACCATCCCATCCTGAGTTTCCAACCAGAGGCTTCCTGTGGCCCTTATCCCCCCACCCACTGTTTAAAACCTCCTAGAGGACGCAGGGCAACAGCAGCACAGAACAATCATGCAACACAGACATGCTCTTTGTTACCAACCTTGGCTACAGGACTGAGTGACTGTGTGTGTGTGTGCTGTGAAGCCCCTTTTTATTGTGTCTGTCAAGGTCAGAGTAGGGAAAGATATGTCAGAAATTCCCATGTGTCATATCCACACAGCTCCATTGGTGCTGCTGTCCTACTGCCCATAGAGACACAAAAGGCAAACTTTTATCTCTCTGCAGATGCAGTCTGGTTATTTTTACTCCTGTATTGTCAGGCGATTACAAAAGCGGGGAGGGGGCCTAGTTTTGAGAGGCAGCAAGACAGTCTAAGAGCCCTTCTGCTCCAGAAGAGGAACACACAAAGCGCAGCCACGCAATTGGTTCATTCAACCTCTTATTTTGCCATGATTTCTACATTGGACCCCGTTGGCTGCTACTCACAGCTTCACTATCAGGATAATAATTACTGAAAAGGAGCCATGGACCATCCATGCCAATAGTAATCTCAAAATGCTGATTCAGGACTGGTGGTGGCTTTTCCAGTCTTGCTTCGGATTAAGCCCCCTCTTTTCATTTTACTGCATCAGATTGCTTGCATTTCTATACTGTCAAAACTCTTCAGGCAGTATACAAAAATTTAAATTCTAAACAAACAGTGCAGCAGCAGAACTATTAACATAACATATAAAACAATTTCAATAAGTGGTTTAAAAACAGGATTCTTTTTCAAAGTATTTGATCTAATAGTACAAGAAATCTGATTTTAGGTGGAATGAAAGAGATGAAAAGAATCTGGATCCGGCTGTCCTTCTAAGGAGTTGCTGTTTCCTCCAGCTTTTTCTTTTTCTTTCCTTTTTTATTTTTAAGAGGTTTCTCATTACACAGTTATATTTAAATTTTCAGCAAAAAGGGAATATAAAACAAGATGAGGGAGGTAAAAAGAAAAAGAAAAACCCTTCAGGTCACACTCTTCCTTTTCAGTATAATTAGCATTCCAGGAATTGCATAATTAGCAAAGGTGAACCAGCCTGCAAAGTGCTTGATTCAGTCCCGCTAGGCTTAAGGCCCTGCCTTGAGTTACAGAAATGTCAGGCATGGAGATTCCATGATGCTCGTGACAAATGCAGTTGGCTGTAACATTACTTTACTGATGTCCAGAAATGGCTTATAATACATAGGGACTGTTTTTACACTGTTTGATAGAGGAGTGCTCTTGGTCCAAATCCAGCTCTCTGGAGTCCACAGAAGGCCAAGCCCATCTGTAAGCCCCACTCCTTTTCTTGCAACCACTGCTCATTTGCTGGTTTCTTGGCTTTTGAGCATTATTTCCCCCATTCTAGAAGGCTGAAGTGCTTCTCCTAAGAGTTACTGGCAATAAGGACTACCAGCATGCTCGCTCGCTCGCTCGCTCGCTCGCTCTCTCTCTCTCTCTCTCTCTCTTCCTTAGCCCTGTCCCTTTTGCCTTCTACTGTGCTCCACCCACCACTGGAATATAACTCCCCAAAAACTATCCAAACCAGAATTTGGCCCTTGGGCTGAAATATATACTGCAGCCTTGCTATAGAGGAAGAATCTGGCTGCTTCTATGCTATTTTAATGCTCTGTGCATTGCAGCATTTCAGGTGACTGGGATGGCAAAACACAGGCAAAGCCAGGATGGGCACATCTGGTGAAGGAGGTGAAATAGTGACACTGGCATGATGCAAAGTTTTAGCAGGGATTGAAGCTTGCACAAGACCAGATTTGCACGGTGGTTTTGGAGCTGTTAGAAACTTGCTGACAACAGCTGCCAAGGAAGTTCTGTGTAAAAAGGGAAATTGGTATGCAAAAGGCATGGGTCTGGTGCCCACTGGCATTTGACCAATGGCATTAAGTCAGTCTGCAAAGTGGCAGCTAAACGGATATAGTGGGCCTAACCCTAACCCTAACTTTAACTTCAGGGAAGTTGAAGATTGCAGTCTTTGGACTATATCTTAGCTTCATCATCTACATTATAAATATAAATTTATTTATTTAGAAAATGTCTACGCCGCCCCATTCGCCGAAGCCTCGGGGCGGCTCACAACATAAATCAATTAAAATACTAAGGTTACTACACTGCTGTTAAACTCTCTGCTGTTGAACATTCATAAAAGCCCAAGGCCTGAAAAGCTCCTAGAAGCACTTCAGTGATTCTGTGCTTCTTTTGAGAGTAGGACATCAGCAAATAGAGTGCTCAGGACCAATCTAGGAGGTACAAAAACAGAGCCAGGAGGAATATAAGTAGATGGAACAATAAGAAAGCTTGTGGCAATATAACTCATTGGTTACCCAGTAGAAGAAGAGTTGGCTGGGCCCACCACCTTTCCACTTTTCCTTCTGCAAAACTAGTTGTTTAGCAAGATTTAGAGGACCCTCTCCTAGCGCTTGAGTTCAAAGATTGTACCAAGGGAAGCAGCATCAACTGATGAACCACCCTTTGGCATGCTAGGAAAGATAGCTCTGAAGCTCTGAAATGACAAGAAAGCAGTGGAAACATCTCAAATTATTTTTTTTTTTCTTGGTTATACCTCTTGGTTTCGGTACTCCTGTTACTATGCCAACCATAATGAGGTGAAGTAGCAGCAATCAACATGCTAAGACAAGCACAGTTCCAGTATAGCTCCTGGGTATGGAATAGGGTGGCCACGTATGCATCCCAAAACCTATGAAATGCATAATTAAAAGAGAGGACACAAATTTTCATATCCTATTTTTATTTACAGATCCACATCTTGAAATAATTACTATAATTTAAATAGAAATGTTACGCATCACACTATAGTGGGCAAGACAGGGACCAGTGCCTGCTCTCAAGGTGTTTGATGGTCAACCTAAAGATAGTCAAAACTATTTTCTCACTTTCCCCTGTCCATAAAGTCCCATGAAACCTGGGGATGAGTGTCAGGGTGAGAGGATCATTTTTATGGAGCTTTTGGAGGCAGACGTTCAGCATTTGTTTCTTTAACTGTATAAGCTTTCTTCCTTCAAATTTTTATTTTTAAGTCTTTTGCCCAGACTACTTGGTAGTGTGTGCGCTGTGTCCTTTGGTTCTGAGCTCTGCTTTACACTGAGGAGAACTCTGAACTGGGGGCGGGGGGAGGCGGGATACATCAGCCCAGCTCAAGGAGAGCCCATGGCACCTCCCCTCTCTTCCTCCCCAGCCTAGGGATGTCACCTTCCCATCATCGGATTCAGATGATGGCTCCCCTGCAGCCTTCCTTGGCTCTCAGCCATGATTTAAATAGAAATGCAAGACATCTTACCATAGTGGAATCACAGTTCCTTGTGGAATAATACCAGCTGACATGTTGTGGGCAAGGATCGAATGTGACTCAAAACAGACAGTGAGCCACGCTCCACAGTCTCTCCTGAGCCTCCTGGCATTCCACACTTTGAATGTCAGTGGAATGATGTGATATCAGGACAAGTTAAATGATGTAAGCATCAAGCACTCCCCTGCACGGCATTTCACCAAAATTCTTCCCCCCACCACCCACCACCCACAAAACAGCATCTTACTAGCTGAAACCAGGCTTGGAACTAGAAAGGCATTCAAACAGAAGACTTCCCATTGCAGAACGACACACATGGCCACTCAAATGTGGAGGCGTTGATCTAGGGTATTTGAGGAACACATTTAGACATGATAACAATGGTCCCATTCATTTATGTCTTCCTCAATATTTCTTTGCCTGTGTTTTCCAATGTGTTTTTTCATTGATAAGACTCAAAGCTGGAAGTGAATTCTCCAGGAGAAAGCAGTATGAGAGGTAAAAGGGAAGTACATTAGGTAGACCACAGTTAGAATTCAGCTCTTCACACATGCATCCCTTTTGCTCTCAAAGTGGAACCCACCCTCCATTTGATATGTGACTGGGGCAGATCTGAGTTGAAGCTCACAGCTCTGTGTGCAGCACATCAAGTTTGGTCCAACGTTTAATCCATTTCCTCTATTTCACAATTGGTCTATTAATCCTAAATAATTTGGTTAGACTCCAGGGAGTTTCACATTCATGATCACTAGGTTGCTTGAACCAAGAAAACTGAAAAGTGGTGTGGTAGCATAAAAGCTGCCTGCTTCTAAGAAACATCTACCGTGAGGCATTAGCTGAGTTGTTGTGGCTTTTTGTGCATTCATCAGAGGGGTGGAGGGAGGATGGCAGAAAGACTGCTTAGTGTCTGGAGCCACAGAGAAACCCTCCAAATTTGCTCTGTAGTTCAGGTGAAATTTGTAGTAGGAGAGTTTAGCAGACATTTTAACCTTCTACTGTTGCAGGCATAAGGGAATGTCTGTAGATATTTTACGGTTTTATTTTTCGAATATGCTTTGGTTGGTGACTTTTAAATATGGACAGGACAGAAACACACATACAGAAATGCATGTACACAGCAAGAGTACAATACTATGGAGATACTCATAAACTTCCAAATTCTATGCAGGACAGGAGACGCATGCATGGAAGCCAATGTTAGCCATCTAAGCATCCCGCTTTGGAGTGGGAAGGAAGGTGGCTGAAGCTGTGTTGGGCTCGATTGTATTTTGGCAACTCCTGTCTCCTCACCACCTCCACCATCCTCAGAACACCGCCAGAGGCCTTGTCTTTCAGGTCACTCACACAGTCTTGGAGATGTAGCGAACACAGTTCATGTGCCTGCTGCAAGGGCGGGGGGATCCAAGCATGGATCCTCAGCTAGGAAGCCAGAACCATATTCTAACCTGGTAGCTGGGAATCCAAAATATCCTATGATTTTCTAGAAACTATCCAGTGGCCATAGGTTTGCTCTGTAAATCGATATATAGCACTTATGGATAGCTTTGCCGGAAGTGCTCCAACCTTAGGATGCTAACAAATTTGCTCTCAGAGGACCAGTTTGTGTCCTTTCCTAGGATCATCTCTATACAGTGAGTCTATATAGCCCTTTCCCAACCTGATGACCTCCAAATATGTTACAACACAAATGGCTTGGCTGGGCTGATGGCATGGGAATTACAGAAGGGCTGATAGGAATGGTGGTGTGGTTACAGATGCGTCCCAAGAGTCAGCACCTCAGTGCAGCTGCCGACTTAACTTTCAGCAGAAGT